GGCAGCCTTCGACCTGCAAGTGTATCTAGTCAACAACACGGGGTTGAGTCTCACCCACGGCAGCTGGGCCATGATCACCCCCATGAACCTCTCCTACACCACAAACACTCCAGAACAAGACCTAGAGATTCACTTTGACATAACGGGTTTACCTCGTTTCGGCGCCGTCCAAAGACTGCGCAGCAGCGATCGCTGGCAGAACGTGAACCAGTTCAGCAGTCGACAGCTGGAGAAGGACAAGATAAGGTACAAACACACCTCTAAGGAACCCAGTGAAGATGAGTTCAGGTTTAAGATATCTGCTGGTCAACATATGTTCCCAACAGAGTATACCTTCGGAATTTCGTTTGTGTCTGTTACGGTTGATGTTATCAGGAATGCTGAGCTGCTCATCGACAGAATCCAGGAGAGTTTTATCTCTGAAGGTTTTCTCCAGAGTGAGACAAAACCAGATGCTACTCCTGGCAAAGATATCATGTATAAGATTGTAATTCCTCCATTATATGGCGCTATCTTCTTAAGCTCCGGAGACTTGACCCAACATAAACAACTGGAAAAAGGTTCCACTTTTAGTCAGGAAGACATTGCCAAAGGCAGAATCAAATACAAACTACACCGTAAGAGCTACTCAACTCTTCGTGATTCCTTTCAATTTCAAGTTTCCAGTAATGGTCGCACCAGTGAGGTCCATACCTTCAATATAAGACACAACCCGCCTCCTGTGGACGCTAACATCGTTGTCGAACGCCTGGACGTTCAGGAGGGCTCCAGGGAGAAAATTACAGACAAATATTTGAATATAGAAGTCCGAGGAATAAGTAATATTGTTTTCAATGTCACTTCGTCCCCTAAGCATGGCTCAATCAACATAATTGATGAGTCAATGATTCTTCCAGACAGAATAAATACCACATTCTTTACTTTACATGAGATCAAATCTGGTTCAGTATTTTATCAACACGATGATTCAGAAACAACTAAAGATCGTTTTCTGTTCGTGGCTTTAGCTGAGGATCCAGATGTGGATTTTCAATATGTGGGAATTATGCACTTTCGAATCATCATGATCAATGATAATCATCCAATCAGGATCATGGAGAAGGTTCTTAATGTTGTCACACAAAGTGAAAGAGTTGTGACTTCCAATGACTTGTTGTATATTGACCCAGACTTAGATACTCCTTCAACACAGATCCAGTACACCAGACGGAAAATCCCAAATGGTGAATTTTTCCATGTAGAGGACAGATCCGAACCTGTATATTTGTTTACACAGGAAGATATCGACCGACGTCGCATTGTGTTTCGCCATGATGGGCCTTCTTACGGCAAGGCTGTAATCTCCGTTACGGACGGAGATCTCTCCTCTACGGGCATCTTGGAGATCGTGGCATCTGAACCCTTTATCGAGATTGTCAATAACAGTGGGATCATTGTCCCACGAGGCCAGGAGGCCGTCGTCTCCAACTACAACTTGAGCGTGGAGACCAATATGAACGCGTGGGGGTCAGCTATCGTGTTCTACGTCACCACACCGCCGCGATATGGCCGCCTGGTGATGCATGGACAGTCCGGTGTCAAGCATCAGTTTACAGAGGCAGACCTTCAGACCGGAAATCTCAAGTATATTAACAAAGGAGAACCCAGTTTTAGGGATGAATTTCGCTTCCAGGCGAGAATCGGCGATACAACCACTGACGGCATCTTCGAGATTAAGGTAAGGATATATTTTGATTTTTAAGTCATTTTTAAAAGCAATTTACTTTGACGATCATATCCATGTCTTAAAAACGATTTTGTTTTGTAACTTTTAAGTTAAGAGAATTACATTCTGTCTCAAATACTTGAAAATCGTGATTTAGCAGGAAATGATGCAAATTAGAATTCCATGAAACATTCAGCATTTATTATGAAGTTGACAGGACAAACGTTTTGAATGTTGCAGCAAAAGACACTTATTATCGTTTATTAGAGAATATAATAATGTAATTGAATCTTGGAAGGCTAAACATGTTTGAGAGATTTTGACCCCTCCGGGAGGATTGAACACCATGAATGAGATGGATGAACCACTTTGAGGATGTTAAATACCATTGCTGAAATAAATTAATTGCTGTGGTATGGCTGAACATCATGGCTGAGGAAAATAGGCTGTTCTTGGAGGGTTAAATACCATATGTGGATAAAACAAGCCTATGTGGAAGGATTGAACTCCATATGTCAGAGAAGTGAACCTCTTTGGGAGCTTTTAACACCCTGGCTGAGAGACGTAACCAGCTTTGAGATGCAGCTCTATTTCTAGAAGTGAACCACTTTGGAAGGGATTGAATTCTCTTGTTTAGATAAGTAAACTTCTCTGAGAGGTTTGAGCTGCTTTTGGAGATACAGCACTTTGACTGAGACAAGTGAACCACACTCTGAGAGCACAACCCCATGACTGTGACAAGTGAACCACACTCAGAGAGCACAACCCCATCACTGTGACAAGTGAACCACACTCTGAGAGCACAACCCCATGACTGAGACAAGTGAACCACACTCAGAGAGCACAACCCCATGACTGAGACAAGTGAACCACACTCTGAGAGTACAACCCCATGACTGAGACAAGTGAACCACTCAGAGAGCACAACCCCATGACTGAGACAAGTGAACCACACTCAGAGAGTACAACCCCATGACTGAGACAAGTGAACCACACTCTGAGAGCACAACCCCATGACTGAGACAAGTGAACCACACTCTGAGAGTACAACCCCATGACTGAGACAAATGAACCACACTCAGAGAGTACAACCCCATGACTGAGACAAGTGAACCACACTCTGAGAGTACAACCCCATGACTGAGACAAGTGAACCACTCTGAGAGCACAACCCCATGACTGAGACAAATGAACCACACTCAGAGAGTACAACCCCATGACTGAGACAAGTGAACCACACTCTGAGAGTACAACCCCATGACTGAGACAAGTGAACCACACTCAGAGAGTACAACCCCATGACTGAGACAAGTGAACCACACTCTGAGAGTACAACCCCATGACTGAGACAAGTGAACCACTCAGAGAGCACAACCCCATGACTGAGACAAGTGAACCACTCAGAGAGCACAACCCCATGACTGAGACAAGTGAACCACTCAGAGAGCACAACCCCATGACTGAGACAAGTGAACCACACTCTGAGAGCACAACCCCATGACTGAGACAAGTGAACCACACTCTGAGAGCACAACCCCATGACTGAGACAAGTGAACCACACTCTGAGAGCACAACCCCATGACTGAGACAAGTGAACCACTCAGAGAGCACAACCCCATGACTGAGACAAGTGAACCACACTCTGAGAGCACAACCCCATGACTGAGACAAATGAACCACACTGAGAGGGAAGGCAAGATATAATTCAATTACCAAATTAGTACAAGCGCTCTCCACCTAATGATTAAAGCGAGAGGAGAGCTGTCGTGTACCATCATTGATTTACATTTTAGATTTAGATTTTATATTCAGGTAAACGTATATACATTGAGTTACATACATAAAGTTAGATTTAAAGATAGTACATACAATACCTAAAGCCACAAGAACGCATCGCGTTTCGGACAAACGCTATTGTGTTTGATTTTCTTGTCTGTTTGAAGGAGCTATTTACTCCAAGCAAACATGTTCACATCTCGACTCTAGATGAAGCATAGAGTAAATGTTTTAGACACTCACAAATAATATATCATGCTCCCACAAGTGTTGCTGTGCTACACTGAGCAACACACGCTAGTTAAACACCTGTCCTTGCCACATTTGTGTTACATAAATACACGAAACACCTGCAAGGAACGGCCAAAATTTCCAATCATTGTGGTATTGAAATGATAGAACTATCTGCTAGAATGATGGAGTTATCTGCTAGAATGATGGAGCTATCTGCTAGAATGATGGAGCTATATGCTAGAATGATAGAACTATCTGCTAGAATGATGGAGTTATCTGCTAGAATGATGGAGCTATCTGCTAGAATGATGGAGCTATATGCTAGAATGATAGAACTATCTGCTAGAATGATGGAGATATTTGTTAGAATGATGGAGCTGTCTGCTATAATGATAGAGCTATATGCTTGAATGATTGACCTATCTGTTAGAATGATGGAGCTGTCTGCTAGAATGATGGAGCTATCTGCTAGAATGATGTAGCTATCTGCTAGAATGATGGAGCTATCTGCTAGAATGATGGAGCTATATGCTAGAATGATGGAGCTATATGCTAGAATGATGGAGCTATATGCTAGAATGATGGAGCTATCTGCTAGAATGATGGAGCTATATGCTAGAATGATGGAGCTATCTGCTATATTGAGAGAGCTATATGCTAGAATGATGGAGATATTTGTTAGAATGATGGAGCTGTCTGCTATAATGATAGAGCTATATGCTTGAATGATTGACCTATCTGTTAGAATGATGGAGCTGTCTTCTAGAATGATGGAGCTATCTGCTAGAATGATGTAGCTATCTGCTAGAATGATGGAGCTATCTGCTAGAATGATGGAGCTATCAGCTACATTGAGAGAGCTATCTGCTAGAATGATGGAGCTGTCTGCTATATTGAGGGAGCTATCTGCTAGAATGGTAGAGCTATCTGCTAGAATGATGGAGCTATCTGCTATTTTGAGAGAGCTATCTGCTAGAATGGTAGAGCTATCTGCTAGAATGATAGAGCTATCTGCATAGAATGATAGAGCTATCTGCTAGAATGATAGAGCTGTCTGCTAGGATGATAGAGCTATCTGCTATGCTGGTAGAGCTATCTGCTATACTGATAGAGCTATCTGCTGGAATGATAGAGCTATCTGCTGGAATGATAGAGCTATCTGCTGGAATGATAGAGCTATCTGCTAGAATGATAGAGCTATCTGCTGGAATGATAGAGCTATCTGCTGGAATGATAGATCTATCTGCTGGAATGATAGAGCTATCTGCTAGAATGATGGAGCTATCTGCTATATTGAGAGCTATCTGCATAGAATGATAGAGCTATCTGCTAGAATGATGGAGCTATCTGCTAGAATGATGGAGCTATCTGCTAGAATGATGGAGCTATCTGCTAGAATGATGAAGCTATCTGCTAGAATGATGGAGTTATCTGCTAGAATGATGGAGCTATCTGCTAGAATGATAGAGCTATCTGCTAGAATGATAGCTATCTGCTAGAAAGATACAGCTATCTGCTAGAATGATACAGCTATCAGCTAGATGATGGAGCTATCTGCTAGAATGATACAGCTATCTGCTAGAATGATACAGCTATCTGCTAGAATGATGGAGCTATATGCTAGAATGATGGAGCTATATGCTAGAATGATGGAGCTATATGCTAGAATGATGGAGCTATCTGCTAGAATGATGGAGCTATATGCTAGAATGATGGAGCTATCTGCTATATTGAGAGAGCTATATGCTAGAATGATGGAGATATTTGTTAGAATGATGGAGCTGTCTGCTATAATGATAGAGCTATATGCTTGAATGATTGACCTATCTGTTAGAATGATGGAGCTGTCTGCTAGAATGATGGAGCTATCTGCTAGAATGATGTAGCTATCTGCTAGAATGATGGAGCTATCTGCTAGAATGATGGAGCTATCAGCTATATTGAGAGAGCTATCTGCTAGAATGATGGAGCTGTCTGCTATATTGAGGGAGCTATCTGCTAGAATGGTAGAGCTATCTGCTAGAATGATGGAGCTATCTGCTATTTTGAGAGAGCTATCTGCTAGAATGGTAGAGCTATCTGCTAGAATGATAGAGCTATCTGCATAGAATGATAGAGCTATCTGCTAGAATGATAGAGCTGTCTGCTAGGATGATAGAGCTATCTGCTATGCTGATAGAGCTATCTGCTATACTGATAGGGCTATCTGCTGGAATGATAGAGCTATCTGCTGGAATGATAGAGCTATCTGCTGGAATGATAGAGCTATCTGCTAGAATGATAGAGCTATCTGCTGGAATGATAGAGCTATCTGCTGGAATGATAGATCTATCTGCTGGAATGATAGAGCTATCTGTTAGAATGATGGAGCTATCTGCTATATTGAGAGCTATCTGCATAGAATGATAGAGCTATCTGCTAGAATGATGGAGCTATCTGCTAGAATGATGGAGCTATCTGCTAGAATGATGGAGCTATCTGCTAGAATGATGAAGCTATCTGCTAGAATGATGGAGCTATCTGCTAGAATGATGGAGCTATCTGCTAGAATGATAGAGCTATCTGCTAGAATGATAGAGCTATCTGCTAGAAAGATACAGCTATCTGCTAGAATGATACAGCTATCAGCTAGATGATGGAGCTATCTGCTAGAATGATACAGCTATCTGCTAGAATGATACAGCTATCTGCTAGAATGATGGAGCTATCTGCTAGAATGATGGAGCTATCTGCTAGAATGATAGAGCTATCTGCTAGAATGATAGAGCTATCTGCTAGAATGATAGAGCTATCTGCTAGAATGATAGAGCTATCTGCAAGCTATCTAACAAATGCTCAGTTGTTGCAGTCCCTCTGGTGAATGGCCCAGTGTCACGCCCCTGGTGTATGGCCCAGTGTCACGCCCCTGGTGTATGGCCCAGTGTCACGCCCCTGGTGTATGGCCCAGTGTCACGCCCCTGGTGTATGGCCCAGTGTCACGCCCCTGGTGTATGGCCCAGTGTCACGCCCCTGGTGTATGGCCCAGTGTCACGCCCCTGGTGTATGGCCCAGTGTCACGCCCCTGGTGTATGGCTCAGTGTCACGCCAATGGTGTATGGCTTAGTGACACGCCCCTGATGTATGGCTTAGTGACACGCCCCTGGTGTATGGCTCAGTGTCACGCCCCTGGTGTATGGCTTAGTGACACGCCCCTGGTGTATGGCTCAGTGTCACGCCCCTGGTGTATGGCTCAGTGTCACGCCCCTGGTGTATGGCTTAGTGATACGCCCCTGGTGTATGGCTCAGTGTCACGCCCCTGGTGTATGGCTCAGTGACACGCCCCTGGTGTATGGCTTAGTGACACGCCCCTGGTGTATGGCTCAGTGTCACGCCCCTGGTGTATGGCTTAGTGACACGCCCCTGGTGTATGGCTCAGTGTCACGTCCCTGGTGTATGGCTTAGTGACACGCCCCTGGTGTATGGCTCAGTGTCACGCCCCTGGTGTATGGCTCAGTGTCACGCCCCTGGTGTATGGCTTAGTGATACGCCCCTGGTGTATGGTTCAGTGTCACGCCCCTGGTGTATGGCTCAGTGACACGCCCCTGGTGTATGGCTTAGTGACACGCCCCTGGTGTATGGCTCAGTGTCACGCCCCTGGTGTATGGCTCAGTGACACGCCCCTGGTGTATGGCTTAGTGACACGCCCCTGGTGTATGGCTCAGTGTCACGCCCCTGGTGTATGGCTTAGTGACACGCCCCTGGTGTATGGCTCAGTGTCACGCCCCTGGTGTATGGCTTAGTGACACGCCCCTGGTGTATGGCTCAGTGTCACGCCCCTGGTGTATGGCTTAGTGACACGCCCCTGGTGTATGGCCCAGTGTCACGCCCCTGGTGTATGGCCCAGTGTCACGCCCCTGGTGTATGGCTTAGTGATACGCCCCTGGTGTATGGTTCAGTGTCACGCCCCTGGTGTATGGCTTAGTGATACGCCCCTGGTGTATGGTTCAGTGTCACGCCCCTGGTGTATGGCTCAGTGACACGCCCCTGGTGTATGGCTTAGTGACACGCCCCTGGTGTATGGCTCAGTGTCACGCCCCTGGTGTATGGGTCAGTGACACGCCCCTGGTGTATGGCTTAGTGACACGCCCCTGGTGTATGGCTCAGTGTCACGCCCCTGGTGTATGGCTTAGTGACACGCCCCTGGTGTATGGCTCAGTGTCACGCCCCTGGTGTATGGCTTAGTGACACGCCCCTGGTGTATGGCTCAGTGTCACGCCCCTGGTGTATGGCTTAGTGACACGCCCTGGTGTATGGCCCAGTGTCACGCCCCTGGTGTATGGCTCAGTGTCAAGCCCCTGGTGTATGGCCCAGTGTCACGCCCCTGGTGTATGGCCCAGTGTCACGCCCCTGGTGTATGGCCCAGTGTCACGCCCCTGGTGTATGGCCCAGTGTCACGCCCCTGGTGTATGGCCCAGTGTCACGCCCCTGGTGTATGGCTCAGTATCACGCCCCTGGTGTATGGCCCAGTGTCACGCCCCTGGTGTATGGCCCAGTGTCACGCCCCTGGTGTATGGCTTAGTGACACGCCCCTGGTGTATGGCTTAGTGTCACGCCCCTGGTGTATGGCCCAGTGTCACGCCCCTGGTGTATGGCCCAGTGTCACGCCCCTGGTGTATGGCTCAGTGACACGCCCCTGGTGTATGGCCCAGTGTCACGCCCCTGGTGTATGGCTTAGTGACACGCCCCTGATGTATGGCTTAGTGACACGCCCCTGGTGTATGGCCCAGTGTCACGCCCCTGGTGTATGGCCCAGTGTCACGCCCCTGGTGTATGGCTCAGTATCACGCCCCTGGTGTATGGCCCAGTGTCACGCCCCTGGTGTATGGCCCAGTGTCACGCCCCTGGGGTGTGGCCCAGTGTCACGCCCCTGGTGTATGGCTCAGTATCACGCCCCTGGTGTATGGCCCAGTGTCACGCCCCTGGTGTATGGCTCAGTGTCACGCCCCTGGTGTATGGCCCAGTGTCACGCCCCTGGTGTATGGCCCAGTGTCACGCCCCTGGGGTGTGGCTCAGAGTGTCACAATTTACCTCTACACATCCACACATAAGGGCGCCTGACAGCTGGGTAGACAGCGCTTCGGATTCGCAGTCTTGAGTTTCCTGTTCGATCCCCGGTGGAGGCGGAGACAAATGGGCAAAATGTTTCTTTCGCCCTGATGAACCTGTTCACCTAGCTGTAAATAGGTACCTGGGAGTTAGACAGCTGCTACGGGTTGCTTCCTGGCGATGTGTAACAAAAAGGAGGCCTGGTCGAGGACCGGGCCGCGGGGACGCCAAGCCTCGAAATCATCTCAAGATAACCTCAAGATAACCTCCCTAGTGAGAGGCTCAGTGTCACATCCCTAGTGATTGCCTAAAAATTAAAACACGTCTCCTTTGTTAATCACTAATATATACACCTTGTGTTGTCCTTCTCAGTGCCTAGCTTCTCACCTTCCTATCTTGAGGTTATCTTGAGATGATTTCGGGGCTTTAGTGTCCCCGCGGCCCGGTCCTCGACCAGGCCTCCACCCCTAGGAAGCAGCCCCTGACAGCTGACTAACACCCACGAACCTATTTTACTGCTAGGTAACAGGGGCATAGGGTGAAAGAAACTCTGCCCTTTGTTTCTCGCCGGCGTCCGGGATCGAACCCGGGACCACAGAATCACAAGTCCAGCGTGCTGTCCGCTCGGCCGACCGGCTCCTGAACGGACTGAGTGATGACGTCATATAGTTTCCTCCGCTGCTCTGTCTCAACGTCACCGGTCTGCCGCTCCCTCCTATATATCTCAACCACTTGGGGTGCACGGTAGAGCGACGGTCGCGCTTCATGTAGGGTCGGCGTTCAATCCCCCGACCGTCCACAAGTGTTTGGGCACTATTCCTGTCCCCCGTCCCACCCTGAAATCCTTATCCTGACCCCTTCCAAATGCTATATAGTCGGTGGCGCTTTCCCCTGGTAATTCTCTTTCCCTCCGTTATATCTTTAATTTTCCATTATTTCTTTGCATTTTTTACGTTCTCTTATACCTTTTTTTCTGGTGTGGCCGCCTGGTTGTGGTGGTGCAGGTGTACCCGGAGAGCTACTGGGAGCCGCTGGTGGTGCTCAACAACGCCACGGTCAAGGTGGAGGAGGGCTCCAGGGTGACCATCGACCAGGCCGCCCTCAAGATCATGCACCCTAATATAGCGCCCTCAGATATCACTTATGTCATCGTCCAGCGTCCTCAGAATGGCTACTTGGAGGTCGACTTCGGCCAGACCACCACATCAGAGTACGAGGATGACGCCAGTCTCCTCAGACCTGAAGTAAGTTTCTTTCTAGTTCACTTTAAATAAGAGCGAATAGATATGTTTTACAGGAAAAAAAATCTTGGCTGATCCTTTTTGTTTGAAACAGGCAGTTTAGCCTCTAAGTAATCAACTATTTTGCGACCAATCATCATTTGTTTTCGCTTTTCACTTTCGTCAGCGTACCATTCACAATATGACATGACATTGTAACGTCATAATACCCCATGTACTTACCTATTTGTATTTACCTAGTTGTGCTTGCGGGGGTTGAGCTCTGGCTCTTTGGTCCCGCCTCTCAACTGTCAATCTACTGGTGTACAGGTTCCTGAGCCTACTGGGCTCTATCATATCTATATTTGAAACTGTGTATGGAGTCTGCCTCCACCACATCACTGCCTAATGCATTCCATTTGTTAACTACTCTGACACTGAAAAAAATTCTTTGTAATGTCTGTGTGGCTCATTTGGTTACTAAGTTTCCACCTGTGTCCCCTTCTTCGTGTTCCACCCGTGCTAAAGAGTTTGTCTTTGTCCACCCTGTCAATTCCCCCTGAGAATTTTGTAGGTGGTTATCATGTCTCCCCTTACCCTTCTGTCTTCCAGGGATGTGAGGTTCAGCTCTCTTAGCCTTTTCTCGTAGCTCATACCTCAGTTCCGGGACCAGTCTGGTGGCATACCTCTAAATCTTCTCTAACTTTGTCTTGTATTTAACTAGGTATGGACTCCAGGCTGGAGCTGCATTCTCCAGGATTGGTCTTACATAAGTGGTATACAAGGTTCTGAACGATTCCTTACACAAGTTTTTAAAGGCAGTTCTTTTGTTAGCCAGTCTAACATATGCCGCTGATGATATCCTTTTGATGTGGGTTTCTGGGGACAGGTTCGGTGTGATATCAACCCCCAAATCTTTCTATCTGTTTGACTCTTGCAGGATATCACCTCCCAGATGATACATTGAGTTCAGCCTTCTGCTCCCTTCGCCTAATTTCATTGCTTTACACTTTCCTGAGTTGAACTTTAGCAGCCATTTTCTAGACCATTCCACCAATTTGTCCAGGTCGTCCTGTAGTCTCTGTCTATCTTCATCTGTCTTGATTCTTCTCATAAGTTTTGCATCATCAGCAAACATTGAGAGGGAATGAGTCTATGAGTCTATACCCTCTGGAAGTTGGTTTAAATATATTAGAAACAGAATTGGTCTAAATACAGAGCCCTGTGAAACTTGCTAATGACATCTTGGCACTCTGATGTCTCCCTCCTCACAGTTACTCGCTGTTTCCTGTTGCTTAGATACTCCCTTATCCACTGGAGCACCTTACCTTTTACTCCTGCCTGCTGCTCCAACTTTTGTAACAGCCTTTTGTGAGGTACTGTCAAAGGCTTTCTGACAGTCCAAGAAAATGCAGTCTGCCCACCCTTCTCTTTCTTGCCTAATTTGTGTTGCTTGGTCATAGATTTCTATTAACCCTGTGAGGCACGATTTACCATCTCTGAGCCCATGTTGGTAGTGTGTTACAAAGCTATTTCCCTCCAGATGCTCTGCGAGCCTTTTCCTCACGATCTTCTCCATCACCTTGCATGGTATACAAGTTAGGGAAACTGGCCTGTAGTTCAGTGCCTCTTGTCTGTCACCCTTCTTGTATATTGTCGCTCCATGTCTCTCCACGGTTGATTTTGTTTATCCAATGAACTACTGGAATTCACTGTATATACTGATGCCTTCCTTGGTGTTGTTCATACGGGAATATGACTCTTCCATCTATTGACTCTTGCATTGTCTTACATGTTTTGCGTCACATTAGGCAGCGTTTAACCTCAGCCACATTTTTCTTTTCCTAGTTTGAAGCTTATTTGTTGAAACTAGTTTTCCAAAGAAACAAGACGTCCAGGATCCATAGTGTATTAATTATTAGGATTGTGTAATATCTGTATCGTGTTTTAAACACTTTGCCTCTTCCAAACACACCATATAGTGGTAATGGCTAGGCGCTTTCCTCCCTCACAATTCCTTTCATCCAAACCCAACCTTTCCTCTCGTTTGTAATCTTTTACTGCAAGACTCATATCTTATTCGTCATCTCTTATCTCGTCTTGTGACTGTTCACACGTCGCCTGGTGTAGGGTGCGAGGTTTGGTCACCTGCCCTCTCATACCCCGACCCTCCCTCTGCCCTCTCATACCCCGACCCTCCCTCCACCCTCTCATACCCCGACCCTCCCTCTGCCCTCTCATATCCCGACCCTCCCTCTGCCCTCTCATATCCCGACCCTCCCTCTGCCCTCTCATACCCCGACCCTCCCTCTGCCCTCTCATACCCCGACCCTCCCTCTGCCCTCTCATACCCCGACCCTCCCTCTGCCCTCTCATACCCCGACCCTCCCTCTGCCCTCTCATACCCCGACCCTCCCTCTGCCCTCTCATACCCCGACCCTCCCTCCACCCTCTCATACCCCGACCCTCCCTCTGCCCTCTCATACCCCGACCCTCCCTCTACCCTCTCATACCCCGACCCTCCCTCCACCCTCTCATACCCCGACCCTCCCTCTGCCCTCTCATACCACGACCCTCCCTCCACCCTCTCATACCCCGACCCTCCCTCCACCCTCTCATACCCCGACCCTCCCTCCACCCTCTCATACCCCGACCCTCCCTCCACCCTCTCATACCCCGACCCTCCCTCCACCCTCTCATACCCCGACCCTCCCTCCACCCTCTCATACCCCGACCCTCCCTCCACCGTTTTGAAATGCCTTTTCACGCTCGAAATCTGTAAATAGCGTCAGTTTTCGAGTAATTTTCAAAAGGGTTTCATTAATGTGCTGTGCTGTTCTCTATATATATATATATATATATATATATATATATATATATATATATATATATATATATATAATCTGGAAATAAGGATTTATAGACGTGATTGTGAACAATTGCAAAGTTTTAGTGCAAATATCATTTAATTCCGACATAAACAAGTGTATATTATGAATCTCCGTGAAGTGGCAGTCATACAGCTCATTATTGCTAGTGAGCTTAATTTGCATTTTTTTAATGTGGGTTTTATATTTTTACTCAACTCACCAAAGGATATCTCTGGGACGAAGGGTTACATTCATTTTGCTAAATTACCTTTGAATAAAACTTGCACTGGTCACGGAAAATATGTATAATAATTGTATATAATTGTTTTGATTAACAATGTTGTAACATTTCTTTTTTTTTAACACCATTCTTATGATAAAAAAAAATGTTCTTGTGTGTCTGTTCCTCCGGCACAACACATCACTGGCCCTCAGTTTTCTGGATTGAAATTGGAATTGAAAATCGCTAAAGCTAAAGGAACTTGATTTCACCCAAAACCTGCTTGCGATATTAGAAACATTGTGCCACCTTCCCTTCATATCTGAACTAAAACATCTCACACACACATCAGAGGCCCGAGACTGTTCAACACGCTTCCACTACACATAAGGGGCATAACTAGCCGACCCCTCACAGTGTTCAAGAGAGAACTATCAACATCAGAGGTCCGAGACTGTTCAACACGCTTCCACTTCACATAAGGGACATAACTGGCCGACCCCTCACAGTGTTCAAGAGAGAACTATCAACATCAGAGGCCCAAGACTGTTCAACACGCTTCCACTACACATAAGGGACATAACTGGCCGACCCCTCACAGTGTTCAAGAGAGAACTGTCAACATCAGAGGCCCAAGACTGTTCAACACGCTTCCACTACACATAAGGGACATAACTGGCCGACCCCTCACAGTGTTCAAGAGAGAACTTGATCTCAAGCGATAAAAATCTCATCCCCAAAAAAGATACGTGATCAACCAGGCTGTGATACATACGTCAGGCCAGTCCTGCAACCAGGAAGCCTGGTCAGAGACAGAGCTGCAGGGACTTTGATCCCTGAAATCAATGCAAGGTAACCGTGCCAAAGTTCACAAACCAAGAGCAATCCTCCTTGGATATTGCCAAGGAGGATTGCTCAGGAGGAGGATATCACTACCTATGCATTTGATCCCAACAAGCCTATGTCCTTCCCATACCCCATACCATTTCCCCTGTCATGTTGGGTGAGCCTAGCGCCAAGCGTCTGGCTTGCAGCCTTGAACAAACATTCTCTTTATATATATATATATATATATATATATATATATATATATATATATATATATATATATATATATATATATATATATATATGTCGTACCTAGTAGCCAGAACTCACTTCTCAGCCTACTATGCACGGCCAAATTTGCCTAGTAAGCCAAGTTTTCATGAATTAATTGTTTTTCGACTACCTAACCTACCTAACCTAACCTAACCTAACTTTTTCGGCTACCTAACCTAACCTAACCTATAAAGATAGGTTAGGTTAGGTTAGGTAGGGTTAGTTAGGTTTGGTCATATATCTACGTTAATTTTAACTCCAATAAAAAAAATTGACATCATACATAATGAAATGGGTAGCTTTATCATTTCATAAGAAAAAAATTAGAGAAAATATATTAATTGAGGAAAACTTGGCTTATTAGGCAAAATTGGTCTTGCATATTAGGCTGAAAAGTGCGTTCTGGCTACTAGGTACGACATATATATATATATATATATATATATATATATATATATATATATATATATATATATATATATATATATATATATATGACAGTGCCAGACCACGGAGGAAGAATTGAAACAGGAATTTCCTTAAGTACTTTTGTATATTAATACATCTTCAGAAGGAGTGATTTACAGTTCAAATGATTTGACCTGTAAATCACTCCTTCTGAAGATGTATTAATATACGAAAGTACTTAAGGAAATTCCTGTTTCAATTGTTCCTTTGTGGTCTGACACTCACATTTTTAATCACGTGTTTATTTTTCGTGATTTACACACACACACACACACACACACACACACACACACACACACACACACACACACACACACACACACACACACACTCACACACACTATATATATATATATATATATATATATATATATGGGGTATAAATGAGGGACGAAGCACATACAAAGATTAATCAGGTGTAATTGGCCTATTATGTTGAACAGTGTCTTCTGTGTTGGCATCGTTATATTCCGGTCTTGTCCTTACTCTCATGGTGGGTAGAGTAAATAGTTCTGTGATTTGGGTGTTCATGGTAGGTTGTTCTATTCTTATGTGAATTTCTTCAAAAATTTGTAATCATCTCATATCTTGGAAATAAACGCTGCTATAAGAAGACACTTGGACCGATGGTATAATCCTGAACCTAGAACAGAAACCACAATATCTCCAATAAAATTATATTATAAATCAACCATTCACAGTGAACATAAAAAAGAGGAAAGAATAATAAAAGAAATAATCCATAAAGGAGTAAAAAGCACTACTAACCAAAACATAGACCTGATCATATTCTACAAAACCAAGAAGACTTCCGAACTCCTTATCAAAAACAGCCCGAAGCCGACGGAGAACCCTCTACAGCAGTCAAGCGTTGTATACATGTACACTTGCCCCCACGAAGGATGTAACCTTCAATCTAAGCTGACGAGTCGTTTGACCTGTCATCTTCAATCCGGTGCCCCCAGGAATCACATGAGACAAGCCCATGACATCACCCTAACAAGAGAAATGATGAACAAAAATACCTGTATAATAGACAAAACCCAAGATGTAAGAAGATTACAAATTCTTGGAGCAATTCACATAAGAATAGAACAACCTACCATGAACACCCAAATCACAGAACTATTTACTCCACCCACCATGAGAGTAAGGACAAGACCAGAACATAACGATGCCAACACAGAAGACACTTCAACATAACAGGCCAATTACATCTGATTAATCTGTTTATGTGCTTCGTCCCCCATTTATCACCTATTTATCCCCTATTTATCCCCCTTGTCTCTCTCTCTGTCTCTCTCTCTCTCTCTGTCTCTGTCTCTCTCTCTGTCTCTCTCTCTCTCTCTCTCTCTCTCTCTCTCTCTCTCTCTCTCTCTCTCTCTCTCTCTCTCTCTCTCTCTCTCTCTCTCTCTCTCTCTCTATATATATATATATATATATATATATATATAGATTGCAATACCTGTGTACAATTATATCTAGCGTTCAGTTATGCTGCATTAAAGCTGAGCACAAAAGCCAAAGATTAATCCTCCATGTTGCAGAGATCCCGTGTACGAGGTTCCGTTCAAAATATAGAGATATGACATTGTTTTATTAAAGAGAAGTCGTCTGTGCCTGAATACTAAAAGAGAGAACCAGGAAATTTTGAGTGATAATAATAATAGAGATTACAGCAACAGCAACAATTTCCCTAAGAACTTTAGTACCAGGTGGAGCAACAAAGTAACAAGAGCAATAACAACAGTAATACATTCATTTACAAAATAATAATACTAAAAATTAAATAAGTTATTTATGAAAGTAATCCAGTCAGGTTGGTAGACCTCTAGATGTCCCCACTGCTAGGCTTAGGCTCGGCCATAAGTACCTCTGGCAGTTTATAACATCTGCTGATGTATGGTTGACTAATTGTAAACTCCGTCAGCGGAACTGTTCGCATACTTTGCGTCATTATATAATGGAATGTGAAGCCCAAGCCCAGGAAGACTATGTAGCGCCCTTTGTGCTAAACACTACTCAAAACCTCCTAGGTAAGATATCTGTGAAAGATATGTGAGACTATTCCTTCTAGCTGACTATTTGAGTGCCACCCCCACTAACGAGTGGCACTCCCTAGTGCCACACCTAAAGGGTGGCACTTAACTGGACTCTGAAAACGAAAGGAAAAGAACTATCAGAAGAAAACGGCAAGCCATTACGATTATATAACACTGGGAAGGGAAGCACTTATCCTGACTCTTGAGGGTCAGGATAAGGATTTGGGATGGGACGGGGGGAAAGGAAAGGTGCCCAACCACTTGGACATTCGGGGATTGAACGCTGACCTGCACGACGCGAGACCGTCGCTCTACCGTCCAGCCCAAGTGTAGAAAACTATAAAAATAAGAATACAAGGACAACAATCGTTACCATCCGGCCCCGGGCTGACAATCACCTCAGCCTCCACAGGGTGATGAACGCCGCCCCTCACTCCTCAAGATGAGCCACTATAACACTCTACTAAGCAGACACAGTTATTGTATGATAACAGGCCGACGTTTATGCAACACCACGTTATGGGAGACGCGCTTCTATATATCATTAGTAAGACTGTTTATGCATGCACATCAAGGCTCACACATAAATTATATATCACAGTTAACAAGAGAGCTAAATCCTGGCAATTTTCAGTACAAGTTACATTGTGGGAGGTACTTTCTTGGGGGAGGTACTTTCTTGGGGGAGGTACTCTCTTGGGGGAGGTACTCTCTTGAGGGAGGTACTCTCTTGGGGGAGGTACTCTCTTGGGGGAGGTACTCTCTTGAGGGAGGTACTCTCTTGGGGGAGGTACTCTCTTGGGGGAGGTACTCTCTTGGGGGAGGTACTCTCTTGGGGGAGGTACTCTCTTGGGGGAGGTACTCTCTTGGGGGAGGTACTCTCTTGAGGGAGGTACTCTCTTGGGGGAGGTACTCTCTTGGGGGAGGTACTCTCTTGGGGGAGGTACTCTCTTGGGGGAGGTACTCTCTTGGGGGAGGTACTCTCTTGGGGGAGGTACTCTCTTGAGGGAGGTACTCTCTTGGGGGAGGTACTCTCTTGGGGGAGGTACTCTCTTGGGGGAGGTACTCTCTTGTGGGAGGTACTCTCTTGGGGGAGGTACTCTCTTGGGGGAGGTACTCTCTTGAGGGAGGTACTCTCTGGGGGGAGGTACTCTCTTGGGGGAGGTACTCTCTTGGGGGAGGTACTCTCTTGAGGGAGGTACTCTCTTGGGGGAGGCACTCTCTTCGGGGAGGTACTCTCTTGGGGGAGGTACTCTTTTGAGGGAGGTACTCTATTGGGGGAGGTACTCTCTTGAGGGAGGTACTCTCTTGGGGGAGGTACTCTCTTGAGGGAGGTACTCTCTTGGGGGAGGTACTCTTTTGAGGGAGGTACTCTCTTGGGGGAGGTACTCTCTTGAGGGAGGTACTCTCTTGGGGGAGGTACTCTCTTGAGGGAGGTACTCTCTTGGGATAGATACTCTTTCTTGAGGGAGGTAGTCAAGGATGAGTATTCTATTGAGACACAGTACTCTATTGAGACACAGTACTGTATTGAGACACAGTACTGTATTGAGACACAGTACTGTATTGAGACAGTACTGTATTGAGACATAGTACTGTATTGAGACAGTACTGTATTGAGACACAGTACTGTATTGAGACAGTACTGTATTGAGACATAGTACTGTATTGAGACACAGTACTGTATTGAGACACACTACTCTATTGAGACACAGTACTGTATTGAGACACAGTACTGTATTGAGACACAGTACTGTATTGAGACACAGTACTCTATTGAGACACAGTACTGTATTGAGACACAGTACTGTATTGAGACACAGTACTGTATTGAGACACAGTACTGTATTGAGACACAGTACTCTATTGAGACACAGTACTCTATTGAGACACAGTACTGTATTGAGACACAGTACTCTATTGAGACACAGTACTCTATTGAGACACAGTACTCTATTGAGACACAGTACCAGCAGAGTAATGTCTGCTGGCACTGTGCCGAGGACAGTGCCACACATTGCTGGCACTCTATGTACTCGTGTGTGGCAGGTGAGTGTGTTCGACCAAGCCCTCATTAACGAGGGTCGAGTCCAGTACGTGGAGGTGGGCACTAACGTCACCAACGACCACTTTGTCTTCGACGTAACCAACGGGATCTCCAGCCTCTCTCGCCTCGTCTTCGCTATCCAGGTAAGGGGCTCCAAGCACCAGGAGATTCTCACTTGTATTTGTGGCCAGGAGTTGGTCAGGGAAGAGATTATTGGTATTTAAACACCTTATTGATCATTTTGTGTTCCATCTCTAGTGACAGCTCTTGTTACTCTGACTGAAACTGATACTAGGTAATTAGCATGGAGACAGTAATGTTATAATAATTTACAGTAATGTTCACAAATGTTCAGAAACATTCTCCATTAAAACAACTTTCGGAGAAGTGAATTTATATTGTTATGACCAAGTATGAGAAAGGGGCCAGATTCACGAAGCAGTTACGCAACACTTACGAACCTGGGGTCAGATTCACGAAGCAGTTACGCAAGCACTTACGAACCTGTTCATCTTTTCTCAATCTTTAGCGGCTTTGTTTACAATTATTAAACAGTTAATGAGCTCCGAAGCACCAGGAGGCTGTTTATAACAATAACAACAGTTGATTGGCAAGTTTTCATGCTTGTAAACTGTTTAATAAATGTAACCAAAGCCGTCAAAGATTGAAGAAGGGAAGGGAATTGTCAGAGCAAAGAACCAAGCCATTACGACTATATAGAACTGATAACGGATCAGGATAAAGATTTGGGATGGGACGGAGGGGAAGGAATAATGCCCAACCACTGGACGGTCGGGGATTGAACACCGACCAGCAAGAAGCGAGACCGTCGCTCTACCGTTCAGCCCAAGTGGTTGGAGAAAGACGTACACGCTCGTAAGTGCTTGCGTAACTGCTTCGTGAATCTGGTTCAGTTGAACTGTATAATGCACCTATATGAACGCTTTGTTTTGAGACGCCATTTTTACCTGTATGTAAATGCATGACCATGTTGCTCCAGGTAATCCCCAAGACGATCTACCTGTCGGCGGGGCTGCTGGAGGTGGACGAAGGGTCCCAGACGATCGTGACGGCGTCGGTGGTGACGGTGCTCACGGAGTATTACAGCGACAAAATTGCACAGTACCTAGTGGCGTCTCAGCCGACGGCCGGCCAGCTGGAGCTCTCTACCAGGCCGCGTCTGAGGGTGGAGGCCTTCACTCCGCTCCAGCTGCAGCAGGGCCTTATATCGGTGAGTACCTGTACGAGGGTCTTGTGTGGGGCAGTACCTGTACGAGGGTCTTGTGTGGGGCAGTACCTGTAGCAGGGTCTTGTGTGGGGCAGTACCTGTAGCAGGGTCTTGTGTGGGGCAGTACCTGTAGCAGGGTCTTGTGTGGGGCAGTACCTGTAGCAGGGTCTTGTGTGGGGCAGTACCTGTAGCAGGGTCTTGTGTGGGGCAGTACCTGTAGCAGGGTCTTGTGTGGGGCAGTACCTGTACGAGGGTCTTGTGTGGGGCAGTACCTGTACGAGGGTCTTGTGTGGGGCAGTACCTGTACGAGGGTCTTGTGTAAGGCAGTACCTGTAGCAGGGTCTTGTGTGGGGCAGTACCTGTAGCAGGGTCTTGTGTGGGGCAGTACCTGTAGCAGGGTCTGGTGTGGGGCAGTACCTGTACGAGGGTCTTGTGTGGGGCAGTACCTGTAGCAGGGTCTTGTGTGGGGCAGTACCTGTAGCAGGGTCTTGTGTGGGGCAGTACCTGTAGCAGGGTCTTGTGTGGGGCAGTACTTGTAGCTGGGTCTTGTGTGGGGCAGTACCTGTAGCGGGGTCTTGTGTGGGGCAGTACCTGTAGCAGGGTCTTGTGTGGGGCAGTACCTGTAGCAGGGTCTTGTGTGGGGCAGTACCTGTAGCTGGGTCTTGTGTGGGGCAGTACCTGTAGCTGGGTCTTGTGTGGGGCAGTACCTGTAGCTGGGTCTTGTGTGGGGCAGTACCTGTAGCGGGGTCTTGTGTGGGGCAGTACCTGTAGCTGGGTCTTGTGTGGGGCAGTACCTGTAGCTGGGTCTTGTGTGGGGAAGTACCTGAAGCTGGGTCTTGTGTGGGGCAGTACCTGTAGCTGGGTCTTGTGTGGGGAAGTACTTGTAGCTGGGTCTTGTGTGGGCGAGTACCTGTACCAGGGTCTTGTGTGGTGAAGTACTTGTAGCAGGAACGTGTCTTTGGGGAAGTACCTGTAGCAGGAACGTGTATTTGGGGTAGTACCTATAGCATGGACGTGTGTTTGGGGAAGTACCTGTAGCAGGAACGTGTCTTTGGGGAAGTACCTGTAGCAGGAACGTGTATTTGGGGAAGTACCTATAACATGGACGTGTGTTTGGGGAAGTACCTGTAGCAGGAACGTGTGTGGGGAAGTACCTGTAGCAGGAACGTGTGTGGGGAAGTACCTGTAGCAGGAACGCGTGTGGGGAAGTACCTGTAGCAGGAACGTGTGTGGGGAAGTACCTGTAGCAGGAACGTGTGTGGGGGAGTACCTGTAGCAGGAACGTGTGTGGGGAAGTACTTGTAGCAAGAACATGTGTGGGGAAGTACCTGTAGCAGGAACGTGTGTGGGGAAGTACCTGTAGCAGGAACGTGTGTGGGGAAGTACTTGTAGCAAGAACATGTGTGGGGAAGTACCTGAAGCAGGAACGTTTGTGAGGAAGTACCTGTAGCAGGAACGTGTGTGGGGAAGTACCAGTAGCAGGAACGTGTGTGGGGAAGTACCTGTAGCAGGAACGTGTGTGGGGAAGTACCAGTAGCAGGAACGTGTGTGGGGAAGTACCTGTAGCAGGAACATGTGTGGGGAAGTACCTGTAGCAGGAACGTGTGTGGGGAAGTACCTGTAGCAGGAACGTGTGTGGGGAAGTACCTGTAGCAGGAACGTGTGTGGGGAAGTACTTGTAGCAGGAACATGTGTGGGGAAGTACCTGTAGCAGGAACATGTGTGGGGAAGTACCTGTAGCAGGAACATGTGTGGGGAAGTACCTGTAGCAGGAACATGTGTGGGGAAGTACCTGTAGCAGGGTCTTGTATGGGGGAGTACCTGTAGCACGGTCTTGTGTGGGGCAGTACCTGTAGCTGGGTCTTGTGTGGGGAAGTACCTGTAACTGGGTCTTGTGTGGGCGAGTATCTGTACCAGGGTCTTGTGTGGGGAAGTACTTGTAGCAGGAACGTGTGTGGGGGGAAGTACTTGTAGCAGGAACGTGTGTGGGGGGAAGTACTTGTAGCAGGAACGTGTGTGTGGGGAAGTACCTGTACCAGGAACGTGTGTGGTGGGAAGTACTTGTAGCAGGAACGTGTGTGGGGGAAGTACCTGTAACAGGAACGTGTGTGGGGAAGTACCTGTAGCAAGGATGTGTGTGCGGAAGTACCTGTAGCATGGACGCGTGTGGAGGGTATTAACTATAGCAGAGAAGTAGAGGAACATATTGAGAATAACTTAGCCTCTGAGGCTGACGAGCCAGCTCTGCACTACCACGAAAGGTGGAAATCATAATACAATTATCTAGTGGACAAACCTGTCATTAGAAATAACAGTAACGTGGAATGATAGTTTGATGAAAGGTTCCAAGAGGTTTTTAAAAGTGAAGCCAGAACTGATACTGGAGAGGACTCCGTCAGAGAACGAATTGGATACAGTTACAAAGAGCTCTACAGCTCTACTGATCCTATGCAAAGCTGTGAAAACCTATGAAAAACCACTCAAAGGATCGTTTATCATTGTTGACAGGGTTGGTTCCTCACAATATGAAAGAGATATATCTGATGCGACTATAAGGGGGGGGGAGGAGTTGCATATCCGATGTGAATCGGTTTCCAACACGACCACACAGCGTACGCTAGGCCTTGGGAACCAGATTAGATTCACGAAGCAGTTACGCAGGCACTTACGAACGTGTACATCTTTCCTCAATCTTTGACGACTTTGGTTTCATTTATTAAGCAGTTTACAAGCATGAAAACTTGCCAATCAACTGTTGTTATTGTTATAAACAGCCTCCTGGTGCTTCGGAGCTCATTAACTGTGAACAAAACCGTCAAAGATTGAGAAAAGATGGACAGTTTCGTAAGTGCTTGCGTAACTATTTCGTGAATCGGGCCCCTGGAATGGGCTTAAGTGGAGCGCCTAAACTCCCTCACCACCTGCACTAAATAGTTAACTAAAGACGTGTCCCTAAATAGCAAACAATAGAACGTAATTCAGGGAACAATGAGAAAGAATGACGTAACTCCTAGAGAGAATAACTTGACCATAATACACCGACATGAGTTCAGAAATGCGAAACCTCTGAAAGCCTAATTACTAGACCGACCAAATGGCAGAGTGAGAAATTGGTTTGGAAACAACCTAATTGGAAACGAGAATAAGATTAAAGAGGGGAAAACCCGGAATGGATGAAACTTATTAGCATGGTCCCACGTGGTCAGTTGTATGACCCATGGTATACTTACTGTACAGGTATGACTAGTACTAGTCACATATGTACTTGAATAATAATATATTCAATATATAATAATATATTTTATTCTTCATTAACTTCTTGAAGAAAATTATATAGTTTTCTCTTGAAGATGTGCACGGGATATTGCCATTCCAGCAATATTTCTTATTTTCGCTGGGAGGACGTTGAACAACCGTGGACCTCTGATGTTTATACAGTGTTCTCTGATTGTGCCTATGGCACCCCTGCTCTTCACTAGTTCTATTCTGCCTTTTCTTCCATATCGTTCACTCCAGTATGTTGTTGTTTTACTGTGTAGATTAGGGACCTGGGCCTCCATGTTCCCTCCAGTATTTTCCACGTGTATATTATTTGATATCTCTCTCGTCTCCTTTTTAGTGAGTACATTTGGAGAGCTCTGAGACGATCTCAATAATTTAGGTGCTTTATCTCGTCTACCCACTCCCCATCCCTCATCCGGCCCGTTGGCGCCGTGAGGGGGCATGGTGGTCGACTGCCGGAGTGTGATGCTCCATTGGATAGTCCTCTGTCCTTTTGTGGCCTTATGCTCCTGCTGCTGTCTTCTCCAATTGTGCCGGATCGCTTTTCCTTTTCTTTATATTTCGTGTTTCTCCCCGCCCCCCCCCCCTCTTCTCCTATCTGCTTCTTGTTTCCTGCCGACCTTTTGCTTGTTTTGGTTATTCTTTTGAACTTCTTCTATTTTGACGCCCGGGTGCTTGAGGAGGCATACTCTTGCACCCTTAGAACTGTAGAACCCAACGTTGAGAGGAAGGGGAACCTTCTATTGTCAATCCCCATTTCATCACTGAACCCGATCTCGATGGACTGACGGTTCTTAAGGTGGCGTTTGTGGGGCATATACTCACGACGCACCCCTAAGTGGCCCTGACATGATCGGCGATAGCTTCTTGTTGGGTGTCCTGCCTCTAATTGTGGCTCCATGGTGGGTATGGGGGCACATTTGTGAATGAATGTATTTCTTTTCGTACTTATATCAAATTCTGTTCCTCTTTTTACCTTCTCAGGCTCGTGGGGTGGGCGACCAGGCCCCCAAGTCGGACCGTGTTGGAAGACTGGGCTTTGTAGCCCCCGCTGCATTGGGCCCCGATCTTACTCCTCCTTTGACCTTTCTGACCCCTCGGCTCCCCTCCCTCCTCTGTGGTTGGGTCGAGCCCCAAGCCCCCAGTGGTGACCACCTCGTCCCCTGGCACGGCTCAGTCTCTAGTTGTGACTACTGCGCCTTTTTAACCCCTCTCTCTCTCTCTCTGGGGGCTCTCAACGCCTCCTTGACATGGCCGCACTCGCTCGATTCCTTCCCGTACTGATGCATATCAAGCCTTGTTTGGTCCCGCTTTGTGGGCCAAATACTTTGATCCCCTCCCTCTTGATTCTGCACCTCCTGACGATTTCTCCCTCCATAGGCACCTTGTTGATACCGTAGATGCCTCTGTTACTTTCCACCCCCTGTTGTAATCCACAAGTTAGTAGGAATTATTAGCTAGAGGATCATTACTACAACACTTAATGAATGATGATTAAAAGTACATGTAAGTAGACAGACTATGGATCACATATCTAAGAAAGGTCAATGGATTAAGACCGAAGCTGTTTAGCCAAATTAATAATTCCTGGAAAGAGGAATTATTCTTCGTCAGGCTTCTAGGAACAAGGTTACCGCTCTAGGGATAAGGTTAATCGGATTATACCTTCCTCAAGAGGCGTGGTGAAATGATTGAGGCCATGGTTGGCTGGAGTCAGTCTG